GATCAGGGAGTGTTTTTCCCAGGCAAAATTAATTTACCAGTGAAAAAGTGTGCTAAGATTACCGGGATTTTAGTTTGCTTATTTGATCATTATGGTACGTCAAATAACGCTGCAGAGTGCCACTCACTACTGTTGGTTCACCTAAAATTTCCTAATCTCTAAGAGTGCCTCATAAAGTGCATTAATTTTTTCCCCTTCTTTTCTTCATCCCCTCCCTTCGCACTCAAATTTTTCGTATGCAACTGGTGCATCAAGATATTTGCAAAGCCCAAGCGAGGATCCAGTGCTGCAGACTGTTGGATTCATTCCTAGCATTGCAGATGAGCATAAAATCGGTGCTGTTGTGCACTGTAATGTACAGCATCACACTGCATGCGCAGCAGAGGAAAGCATTCGTGAATCCGCAAAGTCAGTGCCGCATCAAATGCTTGAACGGCGGATTCTGTGCCTATCTGGTCGAAAATCCTGCTGTCCACACCTGCCTCTGCTTACTCAATTTATTCTATGGTGACCGATGCCAGTATGCTGGTAAGCCCGATTTATAATTAAGCACTATTAACGTGCGCAATTTTGTCATTTTGTGGATGTATGGAGAGGTTGCCAGTAGCATCGATAGCGCGAGAACGAACGTCGGTGATACACAGCAGCTCAGCTATTCAAGCATGGATGTGTGCAATTCAAGATCCAAGGACCTGACATAGCTGCTGCTGCCATGTGTAAACATAGCCGTAACATTACTAACATGAAATATCTACCAGGATGATTGCCCGGACGGTCTTGCTATGAAGATAACAGAGTGAGTGCAAAGGGCTAATGACTGAATTCGATAAGACTGCAGTCACAAATGCTCGAGGCGTTTTTGATAAAATATAGAAAATGTAAATTTTTCATTTCAAATGTCAAAACCGTTGCCAAATTAACTAGCTCAATAAAGAATCCACCAGATACAGATAAGTTAAAAATCTTTTACAAAATAAAGCAATTGCCTATAAAATAAAATCAGTAGAACGATTATTACCATCGTTAATATTCATTAATTATCATCATCATCGTCAAAAATTGCCAGTAATTACCATCATAAAATGACCAAATGACCATTACCAATAATCGCAAACAAATTATTTACAAAATGATCCTTTTATT